TAAGTTCAATTAGAGTCTAGTGTCTAGGGTCTAATGTCTAGAGTCTAGTGTTTACAGTCTAGTGTCTAGAGTCTAGTGTCTATAGTCTCGTGTATAGTGTCTAGTCTGTAGTCTCTGTTTCTCTAGTGTACTGTCCAATATCTAGTGTCTAGTGTTCATAAGTGGCTTGTGTGTAGTGTCTAGAGTCTATTCTATTATATATTAGCATATTGGTTGTCAAATGCTATGTGTTTTGTGTACATACATTTAATTTTCACTTTAAAGTAAAATAACAAAAAGTAATAGTTTTACACACTAATTAAATTATATTGTACACTAATAAAACATGAGGGTACTGTTATAAACCAAACACACAATACTGAAATACAGGGTGTCCCATGAAACATAACAGTTTGTGAATAGTTTGAAATGTCTTCTTCCATGATTTTTAAGTCTTCTGATAGTAAAGAGACTAATGAAAAATAGTATATGACAGTCGTATTATAATAAAATTGATTTCAAAGTAAAAAATATTTTAATAACAGACTTTTTAACTAAATAAACTGCACAAAAGTCTTCAATATCTAATACATTATATGAAAGAAGACATTCAAAACTATTCAACAACTGTCATGTTTCGTGGGACACCCTGTATAATAATCTAAAGGAAATAAAATTTTGCTACAAACTCAAATGTTTAAACCTAATGTCGTAGACCTTTGATTTGTTTTAAATATTTGTAATATCTAAGGTTTACACCATCTGTTGAAATATTTATAATATCTAATTGGTTTACACCATCTGTTGAAATATTTGTAATATCTAAGGTTTACACCATCTGTTGAAATATTTGTAATATCTAAGGTTTACACCATCTGTTGAGAGGAACCCTGAAACTGCTTCCTCTCAATACACCATCAGAGGCTAAATTTAATGAATGCCTGCGACCTCTTCAAATTTGAATCATCGATTTAAATCCTTACTTGAACCAGCAATAGGAAGTTCAGCGATGAAGCTCAAAGTCATTGAATACGGTCAAAGGGTACTAGAGAAAATTAGAGTTTTCGGGAACACTCTATATTTTACCTAATAAAGTTTCATTTTCAGACACTCCATACACTCTGTCCTTTCGGTCCTTACAAACAGGGGCATCTATTCAAAAAAAGAAAAAAATTAGAAAATACAGAAAAATTGTCATTTGCAATTAATAAACAAAAAAATGTCAGAGGGTAGAACAAAGGTCGGGGTTTTGTTTTGATAAAAAAGCCAACATCATCCTTGCACCGGTTCCAAAGTTTTCATAAATTTATTTTCAAAAAAGTTTTGATTTTTTTAATATAATGTTCATCAAGGTTTAAGTCTTTTTCTGTGTAAATGTATGCCAGAAAAAAAATCATCATAAATCAAGACTAGTTTGCATAATTTCCTCCTCGAAACAGGGATTGTAGAAACGTTAAATTCGTTTGTCATGGTATAAAAAAACTAGTTTATTTTAGCCTTAAATTAAACAATTCAGTGGTTTACGACGCATCTTTTGATCAACATGTTTTGAAAGACAAAAAATGTAATCGTTAATAACTGACTGAATTAGCTTAGACTTTTTAAATTTTTTTTTGTAAATGTTGTTTCTGATTGCTATTGTATCATTATTATTGGTGCAAAACGGATTTGATATTTTCGATAAAAAAGTTTTACTCTAAATATTGAATATTTAAATAGATAAACATATGTATTCATAAAAAAAAATGAAAAGATTTAAGAAAAAACGTTCCTACTGTTGATTCAGATATAATAAATAATTTTCTATGCATTGTAGTAATTAATCACAATGAGGATAATTGATACAGTGCACAGTAGAGAAGGGTATCTCAAAAAAAGCACCCTGAATTAAAATCACCTTAGTAAGAACAAATTCAAAAAATGTAAGTTTTTGGAAGACGATGCCTGGCCGCGTTAAACAAGTTCCACAAGATTCAACAGAATGAGATAGAACGGATACGGGGCATAGTACTGAAAAACATCTACACGTGTGATATCGATATTGACTCTAGTTCTGAACCCTCTAGTAATAAGTTATAAGAAATATATAAACTGGAAGTTATTTATGCGTTTTTATTAGAGTCTGACTCACGTCCTCTATAAGTTTTGAGTTTTCCAAGATTTAACGAGAAGAAAAAAAGGGAATTAGTTTTTTTTACAGCAGCATGGTATGATCAAAATTTTTCAAAAAAAAACAATTGTACATTCGTTATAATTTTTAGGACAAAAAGAGTTTAGTTATAATGCTTTTTTTTCTTGATCAAATTTCGGAAAAGGGGAAAAATTGGTTAAATGTTATCTTTCATTAATACAGAGTTTTCAGCTAACTGTATTATAGTGAATTGAACGTGAACAGTAAACAACTCCTGTTAAAATCTAAAGTTGAAGTTAGAAAGTCCAACTTCTTAATGGATTCCTAGAAATTTCTTCTTGAGAAGGAAGACTGCAGTAGAGTTTCATTTCTAGGTTTGGACCATTTAGGTAATGTTATTAATGTCATAGTTTTACTGCAAACGTTAAGTACCAAAACCTTTTTGGAAAAGTATTAAACTTTTTAACCCTGTCACATTTACACTGCATCTACTTTGGTATCAATTGCATATAGTATTAAACTCAGTAGTTTCTAACTTTCTTAACTTTTTGATAACTTGCACGGAAACCTATTGATAACTTGCACGGAAACTTAAAAATAACTTGCACGGAAACTTGTTGATAACTTGCACGGAAACTTGTTGATAACTTGCACGGAAACTTATTAATAACTTGCACGGAAACTTATTAATAACTTGCACGGAAACTTATTGATAACTCGCACGGAAACTTATTGATAACTTGCACGGAAACTTATTAATAACTTGCACGGAAACTTTTGATAACTTGCACGGAAAGTTATAGATAACTTGCACGGAAACTTATTGATAACTTACACGGAAACTTATTGATAACTTAAACGGAAACTTATTAATAACTTGCACGGAAACTTATACATAACTTGCACGGAAACTTATAGATAACTTACACGGAAACTTATTGATAACTTACACGGAAAATTATTGATAACTTGCACGGAAACTTATTGATAACTTACACGGAAACTTATTGATAACTTGCACGGAAACTTATTAATAACTTGCACGGAAACTTATACATAACTTGCACGGATTATTGATAACTTGCACGGAAACTTATTGATAACTTACACGGAAACTTATTGATAACTTGCAGGGAAACTTATTTATAACTTGCACGGAAACTTATTGATAACTTGCACGGAAACTTATTGATAACTTGCACAGAAACTTATTGACAACTTGCGCGGAAACTTATTGATAACTTTCATGGAAACTTATTGATAACTTGCATGGAAACTTATTGATAACTTGCATGGAAACGCAGCTTTGCCTAAACACTTAACTATAAATCCTAGTTGATGGCTTAAGATTTTAACACTTTTTAACTCACGATATCTTTTATTGCGACCTTATACTACAAAATGATAATTCATTTATCGTTAATTTTGAATGACAGGTTATCTAGAATTAAATGCCAAAATTCGTCATATTTGATAAAGCTAAAAGCTAACCATTATTTGGGTTATTTTTGTGTTATACGAGATAAAGAGTGTTAAAACAAACACTTCACACTTTTTCTTTCAAAGGCTGAATTATTATCCAATCAAATTAATATCAAAATGTCTCTTAGAGTTTAGGCCAACATTGTAATAAGATTTATACAATCCTGCTCTGAATGACGGCTCTTTTTCTTTTGGGGATGAAACTGATCTGCCTAGCTAAGGGCAAAATGCCAAAACAAAAAAATAAAAAATGCAGTTTTGAAATGTTTCAATCTTGACAGATATGTTGTGCTCAAAACAGAAAAAAGTTAATAAAACGTTTAAAGCTTTTGCCCCATCTGCACTTTAATATATAATAAATATTTGATACTCACACATAACATTAAGCTGAATAGGTTCACTGTGTCCATCTCCTTCAACATTACTAGCATGGCATCTATACTCTCCTCCTTGTTCACGTTGGACCTAGGATAAAGCACCCTTGCTAAACTGTCTAGGACAGAGAATCCTTGTTTCAACTGTCTAGGATAAAGCATCCTTGTTTCAACTGTCTAGGATAGAGCATCCTTGTTTCAACTGTCTAGGTCTAATGGTGGATGTCAAAGTCTACTACAGTCAACGAGAATACATTGCTTTTGTTGAATCAATATGTATTCATAAGTTCAATTAATGCATTCCTGAAAATGTTTTGAATATTTGAGTGCTGACTAATTATCTACTTGTAAATGCACAATGAATGTATTCTTAGTTGAGTTTTCGATATTTATACTTTGTTTCAACAAATACGATCAAAACAAAATTATCAAACAATATGTTTTTAATTTAATTTAATTTTTAATAATAAATTTTCTTTTGTGTTATATTTTAAGCTGAACCATCATGCAATTTTATTTTGTATTTTGTGTTTGAAAATAAATACTATAACTATAACTATATTCAGAGCCAACAGAGATTACAACGGCGGTAGCGTTTATCTATCTATCTATAGATTCAGAGCTGAAAACTTTAGAATGTGATATCCTTATTCCCGATCTGTTAATTAATCTGGAGATTAAATTCATGAGAAGAACAAGCAATATTTAATCTGGAGATTAAGAAAAAGAGTGGATTAAGCATTAATCCCGATATCCACCATTCAAAAGTTCCCAGCTCAGATCTCAAAATTAAATTATAGATCGACATGTTAAATGGACTGTTATAGTCGTAATATCCAATTGACCACATTTTACAAAGAGACAAGACGAATTCACAACGGTTCCTTTTTAAATTTTTGGCTAGTCATCGATTGACTGATATATGCTATAAAAATGACTTTGGATCAATCCAGCTAGCTAGCAGCGACCATTCTAAAAATTTTCACAATTCAATATGAGGTCATTCTCATTGTTACTTTGAAACAGGTTTAAAGGATACTGTTGTAAATCGGAATCTATTAATGATGGGTTGCTTAATTTATGTTAACATTACCATAATTTCTCTAATTTTGTAATGACTTCAATATTAATAATCTCAATAAAATGACCCGCTCTTTTAAAGCACGAATACAAAGATATCTAAATTAGCGTTAAAATTAACTTGCAAACAATACGAAGTGAATTGTCATTTTCAGCATAATAAAAAATCAGGGTTAGATATCCTCTCATTTCTCTTCAAATTAAAAAGAAAACTTGACCAATGTATAAAAATCAAAAGCTAACTTTAATAATTTTCATTTTTTTTTTACATTTTTCTTTGAGACCCGGCCCACGCGAGAACTTATGTATTTTCGGGATCAAGAATTGATCTTTATCTTGCGCAGACTTATGGATTAATTTAATTGATATGTGCCCTGCAAGGGTTAACGTAAATAACCGGATAAAATTCAAAAGTGCCAATATATGTACAGTTTAACACAGTACTTTGGAGCCAATAAAAGAATTAATAAAATGTTGTATTGACAATTTTTCAATAGGTTTTTTATTTAACTCTATACAAAAATGTGGACCAAAACAATGTCCATGAATATGCAGGAACAGTTTAATATAATTATTTAATCAAAAAACAAGATATCCGCAGAATTCCATTATCAGTTAAATTAAGAATAGGACATTTTATAAATTCTTTCGATGTCTCCGAAGAACTGGATTAAGCAGTAGTATATTAAGATCAAGATTAACGATACTTCATACATAAGTTTCAACTCTTCAAACCTTATCATAACATATGTCACTGAAAACCTAAGTTCATTACCGGGCTTACTTTTAAGCAGAGCTAGAGAAAATTGTACAGTACACTCTCCACTAAAACCCTTTCATTTTTCGGCCAGTGTACTGCAAATCACTGCAGTACACAAAGAAAGCTAAGCTGAGGGTGAGTATTAAATAATTGAACGAAGACGACTTCAATTCCTCCTTATTCCGGTAATTATTTCACAAAATTATAAAATATTAAAATATATAAAATGAATAATATTTACCCCTGTAAACCTAATTTTATTTCAAATGAATGAGTTGTTCATCAAGGTAATTTGCCAGTCATTTTGCCAACTTTGTTTTCCCACGCAATATCTTCAAAAGGGACTAATCATGATTTTCAATTGTTTTGAGGTTTGCAATTGTTTAGAGGTTAGAAATGGTTTGAAGGGGGTAGGGCGAAGGATCTTGCTTCGCGCTAAAAGGGGCTGTACTCGTAGTTGTGTGTAACCCTCCTAGCAAAGAGGTCAATGCCTGATTTACAATGGTACCATTAAAACCTTTGACTAAATATTTTACATTAAAAGAGGTTTATACAAACATTAAAAAAATATTTACTTTCTGTCCATTCTACTTAGTGAATATTAATATTTTTAAACAGCTTCAAAATAAAGGGTTCACATTTAAAAGATTAGGCACTACCATCTTTTTATGAAGAGTTTCTTGAAATTACGCATACAGTCCGTTTAAAGGCAGTTTTTTAAGCATATAAAGAACAAAAACGCTATTACCAGAACAATCTTGTATCTTATATTTATCATTTCTTAAAAATAAAAATCAACAACATATTATAAACATGTTTCCACAGTTCATAATTCATTATGACATTTTACATTTGGAAACACACAATTAGAAAATCCATTATAACATAAAAGTATTATAAAATGCATGAATTCTTTAACAAAAGTATTATATTCTAAGGTTTTGAATAGAAATATAAAGGAAAAATATCATATTGCATTTGGACCATCCATATTGAATAAACTATTTAAAATAATGTCTTTAATGTCTCCAATTTGTTGTTTGTATAAAATTGGTTTTCTATGATCATGTTAGATACTAGATACTTCTCTTTCACAGCATTTGACCGACTGATTGACTGTAGTTTCAAGTGATCCTCCAAACAAAAATGACAATGCCTGATTAAAAATGTTATCCTTGAAACCTTAATCTGATCAAAAATGTGGAAGATTCCGTCCTTTTTCAGACTAGAGAAAAGTATTTGTTTTACAATTTTTCATACAAATGTTTAATTCTGTTATTTCTGATAACTTCTCCATTGTTTCTAATAAGCAAGAAATGTGCAATTCACTTTTAATGAGAAACCGCAAATGAAAATAAACTGAAACAGCAATATGTTCAGGGTACCGTTGTAAATCAGACATTGCCATCTTTGCACGGATTTACGCTTACAATCCATTTAACCAAGTGGGATTATAATATTTGAACTAATATAATTCAGCTAGACAAATTCCCCCTTACTTCCCTCTCTTTTGTTCCACTATTTATCATTACCTTCTGAAGAACTAAACTATGGTTTGACATGATAACATTTCCTGAACCACGAGGCAATATTTCAACATCCTGAAAATGTAAAACCTGTTCAAAAATCATATTGATTAGTTGGTTATTTGGGCTAAAATTCTATTGTAAACCCCCTTTTAACATTCCTATGAAAATAAATAAATAAATAAATGAACTATATAATAAAGATATATTTACATTATGGAGCCAGGTCACTTTATATGGAGGTGGGTTGGCCTCTACAGAGCATTCAAAGTAAACATCATCCCCCTCCTCTAGATCTTCCAGGTTTATGGCTTTACCAATCTCAAGCCGAACTGTTGGTGGATCTAGAATCAGTTTAAATATTATAGTCCAAGATATGCCATGTGGGAACCAAAAGCCTTTGTAACAGGAAAACGACTGTTTAACTTAAGTGTTGAACTGAGATTATCATGAACATGACACAAAGGGATATTGTGCAGTAAGGTATCCCCTCCAAAAATATTTGGAGCGTTATTATTTCCTAGCTGTTCCTTTTGTTATTCTTAGCAAAAAGGAAAACTCAATTTGACCATTAAATCAGAAATATACGTCCAAATCGGGTTAAGGTGCTAAGTTTAATTTTTTAATGATAGAGAAAGGAATCGAAGAGTTAAAGCTTACCTGAAATTTACACAACCGACCACCCTATTAATTAATTAACAGGGTGGTCGGTTGTGTACATCATGATATGTTGACGTAACTACAACAGTACATTTGCATATAGAATGATCGTATTTCTAGGGCGGATTTTATGGAATTGATAAATTTTAGATTTTCTTTCTTGAACTCAAGATAAATTCCCCCCCCCCCAAAAAAATTTTAGGGGGGGGGCAAACAAAATGTGTATTATACTTCCTCATGAACAAACTAACTTAACCAGCAGGATATTCAGTTAGTCAAAAAATAGAATTGCGGAACAGGGCATGTACTTCTCGCCAGTTTTTGCTAATTCTTCGCATACAAGTACAACCCGTCAAAAAGAATTTGCAAATTTTTAGTTTTTCTGAATTTTTAAATTTTTTTTGCTCAATTCCGAAAAAAAAACGGTTTCAATTGAGCGCCGGCTTAAATCTTGAAACATTGAATACAATTTTAAGTGGAACCAACCATATTTGAGCCGCGTCTTAAATTTAAACCGCGGCTCAAATTCTTTAAATTTGGGCTCTGGTGTGTTCTCAAGTTTAATATAATATTGTCAATATTTTAAGAATGTGTTTTATCATTATTTCTACAGCAATTGAACACGACATTTTCAGATCATAGCATTAAATATTTAATCTTTAAATGGTTCGTTATGAATTCTATGGGATGTACTTTACAAGATATGCAATTAAAATAAAAGGCCTAAATAGTGTTTATAACAGGGTTATATCTTATATCTAATGTTTCTATTAAAAGAATTTTATTTAAATATTTTTGCCCAAACCGGTATATATCAAAAAGTTGTTTGAGCCGTTTTATTAAAAGTAAGGCAACGAATATATGATTGACTTCCCCTCTTCCAAGCAGAATTAACGAGTTCATTTTGTTTACTTACAATATACTTGAAGTCTGATAGAGTCCTGAATCAGTGCCGTTGGTTTCACCTCAGAGTTCACCGCTGTACAGGCCAGCTCACTTCCCGAATCCGTCAGAACGGGCCTGTACATAGTTCGATGAATCAATATAGACGGGCGGCACACTGTTCAATATACTGTTTAATTTAGACGGACCTGTACACAGTTCAATAAATCAGTATAGACGGGCCTGTACACAGTTCAATGAATCAATATAGACGGACGGTACATTGTTCAATATAGACGGGCCTGTACACAGTTCAATTAATCAATATAGACGAACGGTACATTGTTCAATATAGATGGGTCGTACACAGTTCAATGAATCAATATAGATAGGCGGTACATTGTTTAATATAGACAAGACAGGCATATACACAGGTCAATGAATCAATATAGATAGACGGTACATTGCTCAATATAGATGGGCCTTTAAACAGTTCAATTAATCAATATAGACAGGCTGCACACTGTTCAATATAGACGGGCCTGTACACAGTTCAATGAATCAATATAGACAGGCTGCACACTGTTCAATATAGACGGGCCTGTACACAGTTCAAAGAATCAATATAGACAGGCCTGTACACAGTTCAATGAATCAATATAGACAGGCGGTACATTGTTCAATATAGACAGGCCTGTACACAGGTCAATGAATCAATATAGATAGGCGGTACATTATTCAATATAGACAGGCCTGTACACAGTTCAATGAATCAATATAGATGGGCGGTACATTGTTCAATATAGACAGGCGGTACATTGTTCAATATAGACAGGCCTGTACACAGTTCAATGAATCAATATAGACGGACAGTTCAATTAATCAATATAGATAGGCGGTACATTGTTCAATATAGACAAGCCTGTACACAGGTCAATGCTTCAATATAGACGGGACACACTGTTTAATATAGACGGGTTGTAATGTACACTGTTCAATATGACGGGCCTGTACACAGTTCAAAATAGACAAGTCTGTACACAGAAAGAGGGACCCAGAGTTAACTCTGGTTGTTTTCAAATACCAAACTGACTTTTAGGCATCTAGGGCAAGTTGTACAGTTTTAATTCGACATTAACAACGGCAACACGGGACAGTACACCAAATGCAGTGGCCAGAATGCTTGTTACCTGTAAATAACAGTCGCTTTCGTAGAATTCCATTCCCTGGTTATATTCAAGGGTTTAAGAACTCCTCGTTCTGCTCCGGGTCCAGGAGGAACTTTGAGACCAGTTTTCCAGTTTAATTCCAGGTGAGCCGGAGGGTTGGAGCCCCAGGATATACATCTAGAATAAGATGTTAAGTGTTCATCTGTCTTGGTGTCAGATTTAATGAATTGCGAAAGGTATCATGGTCCATGGATTTAAGAACTAATTCTCAAGTGTACTCTCACTCTATTGAGACGCACCAAAGACTCAAATTTTCTAATACCTTTATCTTTGCAACCTGATGGTGTAAACCTTTGATATTTCACCTTAGATGATTTGATATGACAGAAAATCATAGAAACAAAAACATACAAATTTTATTGCATCTGGTTGCAAAGATATACAATTTAGACAATTAGAGTTAATGACAAAAACTCATATCCTTTTTCATTATCACTTCCATGCAGAACCAAAACGTTCAATCTGAGTACATAAATGGCACTATCCTGCGTACACAAACATAATTTGATATAATTTTTTTAAATTTTGAATTGTTTTATGTCTCAAAATGTGACCTTGTCGAATTTAGACCAAAAATACCCTTTTCTAAAATACTTTAAAGAAAAAGGTTATAATTCTGCTACAGCTTAGAAGTCAACACACATATAATTTATTTATTTATTATACATTATACTAGCTTGGGAACCCAGCGTTGCCCAGGTTACTTTATAGCTTTTCCTGTCGTTTACCCGCACTTGGACGATTTTTCCTTAAAAACTAAATTTTTGCATTTAATCATATTCCGATTGGGCTATTTTTGTCTAAATGTAGATACTAGATGGGGGGCAGGGTTTTTTTTCACGCCCCGCCCCTACGATTTTGCGCTTAGAGTTGAGATAGGGGATTGTGATACATTTCCATAGTCCAACTTTTCACGGCCTGCTCATTAAATAAAAAATAGACATCTAACTTTAAAGGTTAGGGTGTAAGGGAGGATTTTTAAAAAGTTTAAAAAGTTTGTGGTAAAAATTTTCAAAATAATTATTTTTACTTTTAACAAATATTAACAAATGACACATGTTATTAAATCCATTTTTTAAGGCCTTTTCAAAAATGTAAGTCTTAGCCCTGTTGCTTAATTAATAAAACTTATTTCTACAAAATTTCGAGTAATTTCAAGAATATGATGGTTGCAAATGTGTTATTATCTTTATCCCTAAAATCTAATGAATTTAACCCTAACAAATTTCAGGGATAATTAAACTTTCTTAGCCGAACAAAAACTATCTTTCTGTATCATTAATGAAAATTAATGATGTAGCAAACAAATAAATAAAATAAAGAGAATTTTTATTATTAAGATAATATAAAAAAAGGTTGATATATTTAGTATTCTTTTTAATCTACATCGAAACAATTTGCAAGAATGGAATATTTAAAAGAATGCGGGAAAATTGTTGGTCTCGTAGGTTGTAGACAATAACTGTACATTTGACCACAATAAATAGCAATATACTCAATTCATCCTCTACATTGACAAATGCAACTTTAACGTTTAACCCTATAAAAATACCGTGGGTATACAATGTAACAATACAGACAAAAAATGCACCCCGCCTGCTCACACCCCCCTCAACCCCAACCAAATATTGCATTCTTAACACTGAGTTCAAGGGGGGGGGGGGCATGCCAAATCGACCCCTCTCCGTCCTAGTTTCTGATAATATTTCCTTTATCATTTCTATTCATATGGTTTTCTCAATAAATTAAAGTTTATAATCGTGTTCTTTTTTTAAGTATCCAAAAATCTCAATTTATTAATGCCATCAACAATAATATTGCGGATTTTTATCAAGAATTCAGAAAATCTATTTATTTCAAAAATGCTTTTGTAAAGATTTATAAATCTGGAGATGAAATTTAATTTTAATTCAGAAAAGAACTAAAAACTTGTCTCAAACTCTTCCAGAAAGAATACACACCCTGAAATTAGTTAAACAATTTTGGTTTGATATGAATTAAAGTTTGCTGCTTTTGTCAAAGTTTAGAATATTTAGATGAAGAAATTTGATAAGACACTGTAACCTCTGGCGTATTTCAAGTACCGGACCGACTATTAAGCAGCTAGAACAAGCTGTATACAGTACACAAACTGACTTATATGTTTTAGGCAAAAGGAAACAGTAAACCAAATCAATCATCCCCGTATATAGAGATTCATGTGAAGAGTGGGACGAGGCTTCTTAAACATATCTAGATATGTAAAGTAGTACTCTCTGTTTAGATGTTTGTATGTCCCATCATAACTCAGGAACCCCATTACCGATTTCCTTAAACCTTGATCGGGCAACTTGTAAGAAGCACGGGAATGTTCTTAGCTTGGTTTTGAGATTCTGAATTAAATGGGTCGACTTTTCTAGGGAAAAGTAGCTAAAATCGTAATTTAATACAAAGTGTGAGTAAACGGCGGGAGTAACTATGAGTACCCTGGGCAACGCTAGGCTCCCAAGCTAGTTAAAATTATAAACTAGTAAATCACCTGATAATATACTGTTTTCCAACCGAAAAGGGACAACTAGTAAATCACCTAATAATATACTGTTTTCCAACCGAAAAGGGACAACTAGTAAATCACCTAATAATATACTGTTTTCCAACCGAAAAGGGACTGATCTCGGAGCTAATGCGAACACCCAATGGGGGAACTGAAATAAAATGAATTATTAAAAAATTGTGAAAAATAATCAATAAATTGTGTAATTTTAATTAGTTCATCAATAACTGATCTATATAATAAAACAAAACATTCATATATATATGTATATTTCACGGACAATGTCGGGCCCTTCAATCACACTCTGGGCCGTAGTAAATTTGAATTCGAACAGGACCTGCCCAGTTTGTACCGGCCTGCCAGATAACAGCGTGTACTGACCCGATCCTATGGTACAGTACGTCACCTTAACCAGACTAACATACGACAGGGGTCAATTTTCTTGGCATAGTCCCGTCGGAGGGCTAACTATGACAACTCCCATGGCGCGTTCAGACTTTTTACACTACCCGGCCTAATCCTAGGCCTATTTGACCGACCCCACTGGCTTAGTCCACCGTGGTTAGTTTCTAATAAACCTAGGGTTTTTGATTCCTTTAAAATAAATTTGGTTCTGAAGCGATCTTTCTGTTCACATTTCTGGAAGCCAATTACTTCATATCATAACCAATTACTTCAAAGGCTAAAAAACGACAATATCTTACAGATTATTGGTCAGATAAAGATTTACATGGTACTGTTGGTAATCATGCATGCTAATGCTAAGGAGGGTTAATTATTGAAACCACGACGACAGTTCCTTCTAAATTCTAAAAGTTGATTGCTCTGTTTCTGTTACATTTGTTTTTTTCGTAGAACAGTTTAAAAGCATTTTTAAAATCTTAAATCCTTTAAGCACAATTCACTAAGTTTTAAAGTGCTTTTGCATTTTGTAGAAACTATTTATTTGAATCTAATCTACTACATTTTGAAAATACGAAAATTCCAGTACTGATTATGAGTTACTACTTTGTTTAGTCAAAAAAAGCGTATTCTCGATTTTACAGTGAATAAGGTAGAAAGTACTGTTCGCTAACCATTAACACTTAAGGAGACTGAGTTGAAAAATTTAGAATGAGATATCCTTAATCCCGATTACTTAATCTGAGTATCCAATGGGCACACTTTTGATTTTCTTCTTAAACTGTTCTTTCTTGGATATAGTAGAGAAAAATCAAAAACCGTTTTTTTAAAATTTGAGTCTCTCCCGTTTCTGTATATATAATCTTAAATGGAGCGCAAAATTTCAAATTTATCGGCTTCATATACGCGACTCTGATTGTTTGAATTTTATACACTTTTCAGAATGCAAGGACAAGATTAAGGTTAGGCTCGAAATTAAGTAAAGGAGAGGATCAATCATTAATCTCGATATCCACCATTTTAAAGTTTTCAGCTCAGTAAACATAATTATTAATGATATTTACAATAAATCATGGAGGATCACTTGAAAATGGGTTTTGAAAACCTTTTAAATTAAAAAAAATAGTCTAATCCCTCGTAATTATAAAAATATGTAAAAGAAAAGCACTTTGTACTTACAAATCATATTAATTCTAGTTGAAGCTTCACTTGGTACTGTCAGATTGTTGTTGAAGCAAATGCAACGAAATCTAAACAAAAATTATTTCCAAAAATTTTGTTTTCAACGAACCATTAATTGCACTTTGAGGCAAAACAATTTACAGCTTTGTTTAAAAGGTTTGGGTTTGCAAGATTTAAATAATCCTGTAATCCTATTCTCAAAACATAATCGGATTTGAAAATCAGATTACAAAAACTAAAAAGAATTGTAAAGTGATTGTTAAAATATGTTTATTTATGATGATTTACCTTATTTAGTAAAATATTTCCCAACCAATGAAAACTTGTAAAGTGAAAAAACACTTAATGTTCTCAAAATAAATAAAACTTCCTGATTGAATTTGAATTTCAAAAAAATATTATGAATTTAGAATTAATTTATAGTCAACACTCTGCTCTGCTCTACTCTACTCTACTCTACTCTACTCTACTCTACTCTACTCTACTCTACTCTATTCTACTCTACTCTACTCTACTCTACTCTACTCTACTCTACTCTACTCTGCTCTACTCTGCTCTGCTCTGCTCTACTCTGCTCTGCTCTACTCTGCTTTACCTTGAATTAAGATGTTCCCTATGGAAATGAAGTATAGTAAGGCTGTTTCTCATACTTTTTCCCTTTCAACAAATATTTTCAAAATCTTAAATTCTAACCAATATGCTGATTGCAGACATATTAAATTTAAACCCTGTCTTACCATTATGTCTTGCTCTGCTTAACCCTATCCCTGCTGGGGTACTTGAAAAAGAATCAGTTTAAATATTATAGTCCAAGATATGCCATGTGGGAACCAAAAGCCTTTGTAACAGGAAAACGACATCAAGAATTGAACTTTATCTTGCGCAGACTTATGGATTAATTTAATTGATATGTGCCCTGCAAGGGTTAACGTAAATAACCGGATAAAATTCAATTCTTTGATATTTCAAACTTATTTTAATTTATCTAACAGAATTCATAGTTTGAAATATCTAAGGTCTACGACATTGGAATCCAAAGATATAGGGTTAATAATGTTAAAAATAACAAAATGAAAAATTGATAGAAGAAATATAAAAAAAAGTTTCTCTTGATATCTAATGTTGAAAGTTCTTTGAGGATCAATATGTTTGATTAAAAAAATGAGAAATGAAGAATCGTAAAAAGAAAATTATGAGGAATGAATCCTTAAAGTTGGAGAAACAACCAACTTTTCTTTTAGAAATATTTTCAATAAAGTCTGAGTGGAGAGAATATGTTTTCTAACACATATTGAAAATGTTTCTAGGACAGAGCATCTATTTCTGCAGAGAGTCGATCAACTTACCAACATAAAAATAAGACCTTTAAATATTATGGTAAGGTTGTTAAAAAAATTGCAGAAAAAATTTTTTAAAATATTGTGGACAAATGTTAAGAGTGACACATGTTTTTCAACATTTCTTTTCTAAGTCTTTTCAAATAAAAATAAGTTAAATGTTTTGAAATACCGCCCGGTCTACCGCTTTACCGGCCTCTAAACTGAATGTATTTGCCAATGGAACCGAGCTCTTGCCACTAACTCAAATTTTATAATCATTGCAACCTGATGATTCAAACCTTAGATATTTTAAGCATAGAGGGTTTGATCTAACAGAATTCCAAGTTTGAAATATCAAAGGTATTCTACATTGAGTTGCAAAGATATAAGGATTATAGAATTAGCTTTTGTGACAAAAACTTAGTTAATTTCTTCTCAATTATAAAGAAAAATACGAATTTTGAGAAATAGTTATAGATTTAAATAACAAAACTTGACCCCATTTTTCTAATGTTTTTGAAAAGAAATGTCAAAAACGTTAAAATATATTGATTCAGTGGGAACCTAAAGTCTGTGGAATAGGAAACGATATTAAGAAAACAATATAATGTTGTTGCAAAGAAAACAGTTTACTAGTAACTTATAAACTCTGACTAACTTAGTGAAATCAACGTTAAAAATTAAGTAAGTCCCGCATTTTTGGATCGGAATGTTTGTTTATCTGACAGAAAATAAATATATTTAACATTAAAACTTGTCAGAGCTTGGAGAACCCATGGTTTGAATTATGAATAAATCCCCACCAAGGGAATATTGTTTACAAATCCCCCAAACCATTAGTTTTCTTATAAGCGAGCTGTTCACACAAAAATTGTTAGTATTCATTTTAGTTTCGAATTTTTATATTGTAGTAATAAATGGAGATACATATTTTGTTTTCTTTATAAATATGCAGATATATATAGAACATGATCAATTTTCAGATTAATAAAGTATTAAAGGGTACCATTGTGAATCGATTAAGATCCCTTTAAAACCTGATTTTAATAAACATTTGTTTCCTGTGCAACTTGATCTGAATCATCTAGAAGTATGTTATCTCTATACCAGTGTACTCTAGGGGCTGGAATACCTAAACAATTAATCATAAATGTAAACAACCCCACTGCAAACTATGGACAGAGGGAGAAGGTGAAATGTTAATATCACTAGTGTCATTGTAGCTTATCTTTGATTTTACTTGTGAGCTCTGTAAATTTCGCACAATTCCGCGCAATTCCGCACAATTCCGCGCAATCCCCTGCAATTGGAGAACAGTTGCGCGAAATTCAGCGGAGTGAAATTCTGATTAGAATCCAGCTTAGGATAAAAACAAATTTCAATCTGTCGTGCAATTTACTTAAGTTTGGCGTGACCCAATAGAACCTTTAAAATTCCGACTTCCTGAAAAGTCTGAAAAGGGACTGAACATTCTTTTCAACCTGAAGTGTAAATCACTTTGACTATTTGATCCAACAAAACGAACTCAAGATTTCAAACTTGTGACATGCCATTTTCCAAAATATTAGGATTAAAAGGTTAAACAATTTAAAGTGAAATCTATTCATTAGAGCATATTTAAACCATTTCTGCAGTTAAAGTTACAATAAAACAGAAAAGGTGAGAGGGGGGGGGGGTTTGGCTCCTTTTCTCACCCCAGTGCAAAAATGTGTACTTTCTGCAAGACAGGGTTAGTTTTTTTATTGAATTTGTTTTGGCACATTTTCAAGGGGAATGACTAAGTTTCATGTCTGCGATTTTCTTATTATCTGTTATCCCGTTTTACAGGTTTACAAGAAAGCGTGAAGAAAGTTCGACTTTAACAGAAAGATTAATAATAACATTGCATGACTAAAAATATTTTGTAATTTCTAACTGAACCTAACCAAGGCAGATTAAAGGAACTATTCTCTAATAAAACAAGTTAATCGATGAATCAACCTAACTTTATAAAAACACATGAAACCACAATAAAAAAAAATAAAAAATGATTTAAGAAAGAAATTAAGTCTTTGCCTCAATAATTTAACCTATGCATTCTGTTAGATTAAATATTCTTAGTTTGAAATATCAAAGGTTTTTACTATTAGGTCGGAAAGATATAGGGATTAGAAAATTTAAGTTTGTGGCAAAGAATCCATTTCTTTTTGAGATAATTTCAAAACAAAAACATTGATCGCTAGGATTTTAAAGAATATGAAAATTGAGAGCTAAGTTTTTTCATTACAGAAACAAAAATAATAATAAAAGAATATCCAACTTTGACTAAAATGTCTTTTTTAGTTTAGATAATAATTCTTGAATAACAGGTTCGTATTAAAGGAACTCAGTTTTTGCCACAAACTCTGTTTTTAATCCATACATCTTTGCAACCTGCGATGTCGTGGACCTTTAATATTTCAAACTATGAATTCTGATAAATCAATTAGTCTAAGCTTGAAATAAAGATTTACTCTTTTAGGTTGCAAAGATTGAGGGATTAGAAAATTTAAGTTTGTGGCAAAGAATCAATTTCTTTATTAGATAATTTAAAAAAATATTGATTGTTAGGATTTTAAAGAATATGAAAATAAAAAGCAAAATTGCTTCATTTCAGCAAACGAAAAAATGAATAAAAAAGTATTAAATGAATATTTAAATTTTGCTTGCACCGTCTAATTTAATTTAGATAATTTAAAGGAACTGCAGGTTTTTGCCACAATTCTTTTTTATAATCCATATCTTTGCAACCCCGATGTCGTAGACCTTTGATATTGCAAGCTATTGAATTATGCAGGAAAAAATAGTCAAAAATGCAAATATTAAAAACAATCAGGTTACAAAGATATAGGGATTAGAATATTTAAATTTGCGGCAAAAAACTTAGTTCCTTTAAACACAGTTATATGAAATTGACCATATTAAGATAACGTAAAACGTATAATTTTCTCTGGCTTATCTGTTAACTAATCCACAACTTTTTAAAATTAAATTCAGTAATTTCTACCTCCCTTTACAGTACACTCTAAAGTTATGGTATCTCCCTCTCTAAAGGGTCCAACCATGTCGTTTATTGGATCCCCATTCGTGTTGGTAAGAACAGGTTGTCCGGGAGGAACTAAAACAAAATCAATCAATTAATCGTTAGAATTCGAGAAACTCGAGTTAAGATTTCAAATTGTAAAAAAAACATAAATTACAATTATCCATTGTTTACAGACCTATTTCACTAACTGAGTTAATTTTCAAGTTATTTTAAAACTTTTTTTTATAAAAATTAATCAAAACGACATAAAATTCCTTACAGTCGTCTTTTTATTTCACAGTTTTAAAGATCCCACTGTAGGTTACACAAAAAAACTGAAGGTCTTTATATAGTCATGTATCAGCAATTTCTTTAATAAAAAAATGTCAAACCATTTCAAAAAAACAATATTTTGCTTTGCAAATGTAAAAGCCCAGAAATACTGTAATCATAGTTTTAATTTTGAAAATTTTCTCTTTAACACTAAAAAGGCTGAGTTGTCTGAATCTATGCATAGCCCCCCCCCCCCTGAGAAAAAGCCTTAGAGAATAGGTATAGGGCTGAAATGCATGTGCAAAGCCCAATTTTTCATGGCCAGCTCAAAGAAAGAAAAAAATTAGACCGATAACTTTAATAGTTGGGTGCTAGAGAGGGTGGAAAAAAATGTTAAAAAAAAGTTATGGGCTATTTTAGATTTTTTCTTCACACTGGACTTTTTTTACGCCCTGTACCCTACCCTATAAATAAAAAAAATATTTTTTTAACAAAAAATCCTTTAAATTACTATTCATTAAAAGTCACAAAATTTCACGGTGATAGTGTCAAAAATGAGAGTTCTAGGACAAAAAAAACTCCAGGGGGGGCGCCTAATCCCCCCCCCCACCCAGCCTTTTTAGGGTTAAGAATAATCATAAAGGTGTAAACCAACCGGAGTGAATTAGTATTCATTAATTATAAATGACCTGGATGGTCATTTTGAAGCATTCAACCAGATTATTAGAAACTAACTCAACCCTTGACAATACTCAAAACTAAATACAAACTCGAGAATTTGCAATCTTAAACAACCAAAACCAGAGTTTCTACCGAATGAAAATTTTTTTTAAAAAACCTATTGCGTAATTTGGGTATTTGTTGGTGCACCAAAGGAATTGAGTCTTTGTAACAAACTCTCAATTTATAATCCCTTTATCTTTGGAACCCAATGTAGTACATCTTTGATATTTCAAACTTATTTTAATTTATCTAACAGAATTCATAGTTTGAAATATCTAAGGTCTACGACATTGGAATCCAAAGATATAGGGTTTAGAAAAGCAGAGTTTGTGGCAAAGACTCAATTCCTTTATCGCCGGAATTCCTGCTAAATTCTCAATCTACGTGAAAATTTGAATGGCAATTAAGCAAAAAACTGCGCATGCAAACTTTGAAAATTGTGAAAAACAGGAAAAAAATCGTGTACTTAGATGACTGCTAGCTATAAATTACGCCTCATTAAAGATACTGTACCAAATATTATTCAATAAATTTTTTAAAAACGTATAAAAGTTTCTGATGTCAGATTTATTTCCTTATTATTTTCCCCAGGATTTCCGCAATTGACAAAACTGTGGGGGAACCAACCCCATTGAGAGTAGTTATATATATAATATAAGACCGAGTGTTCCGTGTATGGTGAATGGGTTGGTTTACATTGTACTGGAGTTGTGAAGTTTTAGAACAGCTCTAGATCTAGTTTTATTTGTAAACAATAGGGAATAATGTAAACAAGAAGCGGTATTCCTGGTACTCGGCAGTAGTCAGTATAATCATCCTAGAAGATGATGATTTATTTTGGTGTACCCTCCCATTTTGCCTTATGTAAATATGTACTGTACAGCTTGCTTAATCTTCTAAATCTAGACGGAATGTTTAGATTTAGACGGAATAGTTAGATTTAGACGGAATGGTTAGATTTAGACGGAATGGTTAGATTTAGACGGAATGGTTAAATTTAGACGGAATGGTTAGATTTAGACGGAATGGTTAAATTTAAACGGAATGGTTAGATTTAGACGGAATGGTTAAATTTAAACGGAATAATTAGATTTAAACGGAATGGTTAAATTTAGACGGAATGGTTAGATTTAGACGGAATGGTTAGATTTAGACGGAATGGTTGGTTGGATAATGGAAAGACCATAAAATACCGACAATAAGGTGGATGGATGACTATTAGGGGAATTTCAAGTTGGACCCTGGGTAAACGTTAACAGCAGGAGGAAATACAAAAACCAATAAATTTCAAGTATAATTTTAACAAACCAGTAAAAAGGAGAAAGTTTAAGAATACAACATTTTTGCAAAATCAAAATGGAAGTGGGGGGGGGGGGCGAAGTCAAAATATTTTATTTCAAATACTCTGTGTTGTTTAACAAGTACAAGAAATCTTTTGACTTTTCGCAGAAACTGCAAATTTTCAAATCTTTTATAAAAAAATAAAAAGTAGTTTTGTACTGGTTGAAAATTGGAAAATTGAAGATTTTCACTCAATTACAAAGTTATCCGCTCCCCCACCCTGGCAATTACTCCAGTTGACCAAGAAATATATAGACCAGGAACCGCCATATCTCATGCGTCAAATCCGTGTACTGCAGTGGGAGGAGATCAAAACAAAGAATTCAGGGGCAACGCATCATTTTTCAGGAAAAAGGGCCCAAAGGGTGGAATAAGAATATGTTGCTATTGTATTAACCATAATGACTAGCAAAAATCATAAGTATTCGCTCTAACTTGATATATTAACTTGTTTTTTGTTGGACTGTAATATCACATCAGAGCTTTAGTCCTATCCTTTCAACTTCTGTGGGGGCACTGGGTTTGTTTACATTCCTCCCACAGAGTAAAGTACTCAATTTGTGTATATCTGAGTTGGGCGATCCTGTATATAGTTCCTTGTTACGAAGGAACTTGTTCCTCAGCAGTTCAAATACGTGACTGTAAAATGTACGGAAATCCTATCGCCCCCACCTTATGTTCTTCTATATCACCTTGGAAATTCATTAGTTTACATTTAAAGGACAGAAGTTCCAAACCATCCACCTGTTCAGAACCTGACACTTCATGGGACAGAAGTTCCAAACCATCCACCTGTTCAGAACCCAACACTTCATAGGACAGAAGTTCCAAACCATCCACCTGTTCAGAACCTGACACTTCAAGGGATAGAAGTTCCAAACCATCCACCTGTTCAGAACCTGACACTTCAAGAGACAGAAGTTCCAAACCATCCAACTGTTCAGAACCTGACCCTTCAAGAGACAGAAGTTCCAAACCATCCACCAGTTCAGAACCTGAGACTTCAAGGGACAGAAGTTCCAAACCATCCACCTGTTCAGAACCTGACACTAAGTGTCGTCGAACTGGCCCTCTCTCTGGAGCTGGCGCGTAACTCCTTTTGGCTTTTACCTCAGGGTTATTGTGAACAAAAAACCTTTAAATCTTGAAAAGACGAGATCTAGTGTTCTATCTATTATTGTTCATTAATTTAGGGTTTTAACAAAAAATTGAGAGCTTACCTATGACTCTTAATCTGACCCTGTGATATTTTGTAGGACTCTGCCTGAAATCAACTCTGCAGGTGTAATCTCCTAAAATATTATTTCTTAAAGGGATTGTAAACGTATTTCAAAATATTACATAAAGGGATTATAAACGTATTTCCAAATATTCCTTAAAGGGAAGGTAAACGTATTTACAAAATATTCCTTAAAGGGATTGTAAACGTATTTACAAAATATTCCTTAAAGGGATTGTAAATGTATTTACAAAATATCCCTTAAAGGGATTATAAACGTGTTTACATGTGCTTCTCTATTTAACATGTCCAATTCATTAAGGTACTCATTAAAAATTAAAGATCTAGTTTCTTTCAAAACGGAAAATTTCGATTGTTGTACATCTCATGCTACTGAGACAATAGAGGAAATTCGAAGAATTAAACACTTTTCAAGCTAGAAGACGACATTTTTCACAATATTGATTAGATATCGTTGTGAAATAGGCACGGCTTTCGTTTTGAAGAAGGGGATCACTTACAAAACAAGGATTGTCCCTTTAAGATTATGTAAATAAGTTTTACACCTTTATAAGTTTGCTATTGTTATGGTGAGTTGTTATTGTTATTGTTATGGTGAGTTAATTTTCTTAAAAATAAATTTTTGAACAATACAATTTAATTTTCTAACACGTCCTGGGTCTCAAAATGTCTGCAATTTCATTTTTTATTTCCAATGCGTAAATCATTAATAATTTAGTCTTTTTGCTAAACTAGTCTTTTTCTACTTGTATCATGAAAGTTCTTTACCCACTTATATAATTGTGCTCTGAAAAAATGTAAAATAGCCCAAAAATAAAAACTTAATTGAAATTATAAGTTTCAAATAGGAAACCGAAGGTTGTCCTAGAAAACTAATCTACCAGAAATGTGCTTTCATACTCAAACCCTTTTTAGAGGTATTAAAAAAAAAATTACACATCTGTTCTTACTCTTGAAGGTTATATTTCATAAGAAATGTAGAGTGTACATTTTTCTCTTATTCTTTGCTTTTAAAATGTTGAAAATTGTTACTTTTAATGAATTTAATATCTCCGTTAGTTAGTAAGATACAAAAAGAAGGCTAAATTTTAAAAGCCTTAAAGATATTTTTTTTTGTTTTTGGACAACTTTAACTTTAAATTTTAATGAAAATCAAAGAAATAAAATCGAGCTGGTCAATCGTCAATCGTCCATCGTCCATGGTCTGATAAAGATCCATTAATGTGCCACAAAACACCCAATCTAGAAATTGCATTGGAACTACATCAAGTTTATTATTGTAAGGATTGATTTGTCGGCAATATTCGAATTTTATGAAATTTGTTGTTGCACTAAAATACATTCCATTGTGTACAATAAAACTGTCAGTATTGTAGATATAAAATATTTTATTATTTGAACAAATAAACTGATGAAGCATTTTATACGTATATAGTGTAAGATGTTTAACCACAGAGTGTCCAACAAAACATGACAGTAGCAAGACGACTGCATTAATTCATAAACCTAATTTTAGAAATAGATTTCTAGAATTAACAATTACAAAATACCTCTAGTCTGTGCTCTGCCTTTGGTGTGCTTTCAATATTACAAAATACCTCTAGTCTGTGGTCTGCCTTTGGTGTGCTTTCAATATTACAAAATCTGCCTTTGGTGTGCTTTCAATATTACAAAATACCTCTAGTCTGTGGTCTGCCTTTGGTGTGCTTTCAATATTACAAAAGATAAAAATAATTTCCTCATAAAATTAAAATAAAGACCACATTTTGGAAAAGCCAGGACCAAGGGAATGTTGTGGTTATTTTTTTCAAGAATAATGTATTCTTAGGTTGACGACTGATTGTCACAAATAAATTAAAATATCAAAGACGACATTCCACTCGTCTTGCTATTGTTATGTTTCGTGAGACACCCTGTATCTTAAAGAAAAAAGTTGCGTCACCCAGCGCCCCCCCCCCTGCGATTTTTAAAAACTTTAAGGAAAGAATGAAATATTTTAAACATTTCTTTATATTCCAGCTAACTCTTTTTCAGTAGGGCTAAAGTGTAGAATGAAAAAGGGAGGGTAGGGGGCACAATGGGGTATTTAAGAAGTTTAGGGGCCATACGTCCCAGGCCCGCCAGAGTACTTGCTTCGTCTCTGAAGTAAATGTTGAAAAAAAAAGAAAAAAAATGCAAACACTTTGAGTTATATTACACCTCTGTGAATCCTGGAGAGTATAAAACATAAAACCCCGAATTTGATTTATACTTTATAAAAATGCAAAACAGGAATATGCTCAGTGGATATATTTTCTTAAAACTGTTCTCAAATCATAGAAAAAGCATTTAACAGAAGGATTAAATAAATATTTCCAATATTTTCAATATTTTCAATAGCCATCCGCTTACAATTGCTCACAATTGCGGTATCACAACCAAAATGTTAATCAATGTATCAAAAAATTATTAAAATGTTTTAATATTTCATCCAATATTTAAATTTTTAATCCCAATTGTTATTATTTATTGACATTTTTAGTATCTAATAGAGTTTTGTTGAAAAACTCTGTAACTAGAACCAAATCAAGAACTCTGTAACTAGAACCAAATCAAGAACTTTCAGGATTTGATAATGGATTTTGAAATTCATTTTTAATATTGATTAAAATAAGTAAATAATAAATTTCAGTTTAAAATGTAAGTGTTTTTATTAGGAAAGATGAAAAGCGGCATCGTACCCAGTACACACTAGAATATTTATGTCTATGAATAAAGCATGAGAATTGTAAAGATAGGAAAAGTTATAAATCACTTCTTTCTAACTTAAAACGGATCAAATCCATTCCTGGTTTTTATTTGAATTGCATAATTTTATGCAACAAAGAACAATGAGGAAGTTGTAACACAATTAAAAAATGTCAATACTATTAGGTCCGAAATTACTAATCACCTTCATCAAATAATACTCTATATAATAATGACACTATTAGGTCCATATACTAATTACCTTCATCAAATAATACTCTATATAATAATGACACTATTAGGTCCGTAATTACTAATTACCTTCATCAAATTATACTCTATATAATAATGACACTATTAGGTCCATAATTACTAATCACCTTCATCAAATTATACTCTATATAATAATAACACTATCAGGTCCGTAATTACTAATTACCTTCATCAAATAATACTCTATAAAGATAACACCATAAGGTCCGTAATTACTAATTACCTTCATCAAATAATACTCTATATAATAATGACACTATTAGCTCCGTAATTACTGATTACCTTCATCAAATTATACTCTATATAATAATGACACTATTAGGTCTATATACTAATTACCTTCATCAAATAATACTCTATATAATAATGACACTATATTAGGTCCGGAATTACTAATTACCTTCATCAAATAATACTCTATATAATAATGACACTATTAGGTCCATAATTACTAATTACCTTCATCAAATAATACTCTATATAATAATGACACTATATTAGGTCCATATACTAATTACCTTCTTCAAATAATACTCTATATAATAATGACACTATATTTGGTCCGTAATTACTAATTACCTTCGTCAAATTATACTCTATATAATAATGACACAATTAGGTCCATAATTACTAATTACCTTCATCAAATAATACTATAATAATGACACTATTAGGTCCGTAATTACAAATTACCTTCATCAAATGTTTTGCTGATATTCTTTACACTAGAAGCAACAAACTTGTTAAAATTTGAAGACAGGAAAATAAGATTCAATCTGACTGTCACTTTTGTGCAAATCTGTTTTACAGAAGAGAAGAACACAAAGTACTTTGCTGGACATAAGGGAAGAAATATTGAAAGGTTAAAGGACTGTGAAGGAAAAATGAAAGGGTGTATAGGATGAAAACTGAGGATCTCAGGTTTTGAACGATACTTATAAGACATCTTTCTGATGTTCCTGTCTCGAGAAACTGTGTCAAAATTATACCAAAACCTGCATATGCCAGATTTTGTATAAAAGTTGTAGAATTAAATAGATCATATTTAACAATTTCGCAACCAATCTGAAAACGATTATATCCCACGGCCACAGGAGCCTGAGAATCTCAGGTATTGTATGGTCTATTCAATATATTGTATTTTCTAATAATGTATTATATGTTCTATTCATTATATTGTATTTTCTAATAATGTATTGTATTATTGTATCATTGTATGTTCTGTTCAATATAATGTATTTTCTAATAATGTATTATATGTTCTATTCATTATATTGTATTTTCTAACAATGTATTGTATCATTGTATCATTGTATGTTCTATTCAATATATTTTATTTTTTAATAATGTATTGTATGTGCTTTTCAAAATATTGTTTGTTTTTTAATAATGTATTTTCATATGTCTTTTTTAATATATTGTATGTTCTCTGAAATTGTTTGACGGAAGTAGGAAAACGAAAAGAATGTATTTCCGTCATCTGTAAAATGATAATTGTTCTCAAGTTAAAACTTTTTCCAAGAAAATATTACTAAACACTGTCTTTAGCTGAGAGAGAAAAAAGTATTTGTGCAATTCATATAGAGGTCCTTCCCCCTTACCCCTTCTCCACTCCCCCCCCACCCCATATCAGAACTGACTTTAATTAATTAAAATTAAAGATTTAAAGGAAAGTTTAAAATGAAATAGAATAATCAATAAAATGTTAAATATTTGAAAATGCAAGATTTGAAGAACTGGATAATAATGAAAGAACATACTTTTTATCGGATATTGGTGAAGAAACAGCAAATATCTATCTTTTTATTGGATATTGGTGAAGAAACAGCAAATATCTATCTTTTTATTGGATATTGGTAAAGAAACAGCAAATATCTATCTTTTTATCGGATATTGGTGAAGAAACAGAAAATATCTATCTTTTTATTGGATATTGGTGAAGAAACAGCAAATATCTATCTTTTTATTGGATATTGGTGAAGAAACAGCAAATATCTATCTTTTTATCGGATATTGGTGAAGAAACAGCAAATATCTATCTTTTAATGGACTGAGAGCTGTGACCGTAATATTAAGTAAATCTCCATTTAGAGATGGATATGTCGAGTCCTCAACTCCTCATCCAGACAGTGATTCTGACTTGCGTATTTTATCATAAATTATTATTTTTACAGATATAAAGGATTAAGATATGAAGGATATTCTTGTGGATCGGTCATGCACCGCTTTAAATGGAGTTTGAAACTTCGTTAAATGTACTTTAAAGTCTATCTCATTTTTAGATATAGGAAATTTTTAAAAACTTGTTTGTTCCTGAGTACAGCTGGAGTTCCAACTAGATGAGGATGGAAGGTTCCTCTTTCTCCAAATACAGATGGTTCCGACCATAAATCAGGTAATCCGCCAACACGAGGCGATCTAAATATTAATCAGGTAATCCGCCAACACGAGGCGATCTAAATATAAATCAGGTAATCCGCCAACACTAGGCAATCTAAATATAAATAAAGTGATCCGCCAACACGAGGCAATCTAAATATAAATCAGGTAATCCGCCAACATGAGGCGATCTAAATATAAATAATGTAATCTGCCAACATGAGGCGATCTAAATATAAATCAGGTTATCTGCTAACACGAGGCAATCTAAATATAAATCAGGTAATCCGCCAACACGAGGGGATCTAAATATAAATCAGGTTATCTGCCAACACGAGGCGATCTAAATATAAATCAGGTAATCCGCCAACACGAGACGATCTAAATATATATCAGGTAATTCGCCAACACGAGGGGATCTAAATATATATCAGGTAATCTGCCATCACGAGGCGATCTAAATATATATCAGGTAATCAGCCAACAAGAGGGGATCAAAATATAAATCAGGTAATCCGCCAACACGAGGCGATCTAAATATTAATCAGGTAATCCGCCAACACGAGGCGATCTAAATATATATCAGGTAATCTGCCAACACGAGGGGATCAAAATATAANTGGTATCCCCCCCCTCTTTGAATTTTGGGTTAAATACTGTCTACCCTACAAACCCATATTCTAGATTGTTTTATTGTTATCGAAAACCTATTGCGGGATCTTTAGTATCTTTTTATAGCTTTTCTAGGAGATCTAAAAATCTAGTTTAACAAAGACCTAAATCCTTTAAGTTTATTCGGATCCATCTGAACGGGAAAATTAAATAAAAATCTTTTTGGCAAAAATAAAAAAAGTTTCGTAGAAAAAAGCATAAATTTTAAGACGAAACAAAATATGATCAAACTTCGCAAATAAAATGCAAAATTGCACAAATATTGTTAATTCTGCGAAAAAAACACAAAAATTGCATGAAAAGAATTGCTCATGCGCTTCCTTTTGCAAATTCTTTTTTCAAAAAATGCGTAATTTCGTAAAAAAGTTGGCGAAATACGAAAGAAATTTTTGCATTTTTTGCGAAAGTTTTCTTCCGCTGGAATTTATATGGTTATGAATGAAAGTTCAACATTATACAGAAGCATCAAATATAGGGAGAGAGGGAACCCCCGGACGCCACGAGCATCTGCGCTATGCAGACACGAGCCTCCCAGATTTACTAGGCAGACCTAAACTCTACTATGCAGTAAGAGCCTTCGCTATACAGCAAACGAACCTACTACATAAATAACAGTTTCTTTAAAACTATTGGTTTTTAGTTCAAATTTTGTTGTATCTCAATTTGTGTATNAGCGAAGGCTCTATACTGCATGGTGGAGGCTCGGTTTGTCTAGCGAATCTGGGAGGCTCATGTCTGCAAGGAGGAGGCTAATGACGTTCAGTGTTTCCCTCCCTCATACAGTACCTAGAGTCAATTCTCTATTGTCCATAGTGTTAGTTTTCAAGTGTCTAGTGTCTAGTGTCTTAGGTCTAGTGTCTAGTGTCAAGTTTCTTGTGTCTAGTGTTTAGTGTCTAGTGTCTTAGGTCTAGTGTCCAGTGTCTAGTTTCTAGTGTCTAGTGTTTAGTGTCTAATGTCTAAGGTCTAGTGTCTAATGTCTAGAGTCTAGAGTCTAGAATCTAGTGTCTAGTGTCTAGTTTCTAGTGTCTAGTGTTTAGTGTCTTAGATCTAGTGTCTAGTTTCTAGTGTTTAGTGTCTATAGTGCTTAGTTTCTAATTTTCTATGTCTAGTTTCATAATGTCTATTTTGCTGCAGTAGCAACTTGAAGCAACACGGACTATCTATTTGTTATGTTACACTACCTGCTATCATAACTGTAGATTGGTGTCCTGTCCTCCCTTCTATACCAGAGGACAAGATAAACACTGTCTCCGTCCTCCTTGTCCTCTAACGAACAGGGCAGCTCAGCTATACCACCTAAAAAATGGATTAAATATATTTTCAAAATATGGAACAGCTTATAGTATACATACATATTAATATATTCATTTTTATTATTATTATCATCAACAATTGCAATTGCTGAAATGGATAAAATCCGTAACTTCTCTGATTTCCTTGATTACACAAAAGGGCCCCGCAGTGAATCAGAAATGCAGTTCTAAAAGAGGTGTAAAAGTAACGCCTGAACGCCTTACTTTACCTAACTTAGTATATATTTAGACCCACTGTCAATAATTGGAATTCAATATTTTATAGCGAAATTGTTGCAATTCATTACTGAGTTTCAAAATATTTTGATTTTTGTAAATTTGCAAATTTGTTTTCAGACTAAATAATGTATTCCAAAGATATCTTTTAGTAATAATTATGAACAAAAGTATTGAAAGAAAAAGAAAAGGAAAACTCGATTTTTTTATAAATTAGAGAAAAATCTCTTATTCCTACATCGTCCATGATGGATGATAGTTCAAGATGTGGTGTTATACCCTGGGAGGGGTAAGCTTTGCCCAATTAGTTTGTCTGAAGGATTGAGAGAATAAGATAGAGATAATACTCACATAAACCCCTAGGACTGGCCATCAATCTAGTACTTTCATTCTTTTTAACAATTAATTAAACAGAGGCCGAATTTAAATAGTTTGAGCCGCGTCTCAAACATGGTTGGTTCCACTTGAAATTGTTTTAAGATTTGTGAGCTAGGATGTATATGTATAGTATTCACCCGTCTACAAGCCGATGATGAAAATTATTTCTAGGGCTGACTACAAAAGTAGATCTAAAATCAATTAAATATTTATTTCAGAAGAATTAAATTGCTTTAGACTTCAGTTCAAACAACTTTTCGCCGTCCTACAGTTTTCTAGATTTATTTATCGATTGACAACATTATTAAAATATGATCTACAAAACCTGCAAAACCTAGAGCTTCCTAAACCAGCAAAACCTACAAAACCTAGAGTTTTAAACCTTTGTCCAATTCTCAATGGGACATGTTTCTAAACCAATTGATAATTTCACACAACTGTTTAATCTTTATTAACAATCATTATTTATACACATGTACGTCAATAACAATTTGTATTTTGTTGTAGGAAACCATCGTTACTGAAATATACATTTTCAAGAAGTTGTTCTCATCTATGTATGGCCGGTAGAAAAGAGTGTACAATTCTTGGTGATTTAGCGTACATAAGCTATCTATGTTTATTTTTATTTATCTATGATATTGATATATACTATATATACATTACAACAGTCTGAAAATATTTACTCTTATAATTTCTGAAAGAATTAAAGGTAAGGGGAAACAATATTTAATCTCTCTTATTACCATAATTTGCTAATTCTCGTATTTTCGCAACCTCATGTTTAGATTATGATATTTCAAACTATAAATACTGCTTTATCTTTAATTTTACACCATCTGGTTACAAAAATATATAATTAGATTGTTAATAAGTAATTTGATTATAAATTCTAATGTATCCTTTTTTTCAAATGATTTTAGGTCAAAACAAATGGAAAATGTTTTCATCCTTACATGCAATCAATAAGTTGATGAAATGATTTTAATCATGATTTCCTAATTCTTATATCTTTGCAACCTGTTGTCGTTTTTGTGGCAAAGACACAGTTACTTTGCCCTCCTCACATTAAGGGTACAACTTAAAATATTTAAAATCTAAAATCATCTAAAAGGAGAAAATAAAGAACAAAATGATTGGGTTTACCTTGAATTGCTTCAACAGTCTGATACAGAGCATCTGAGGCTCCATCTAAGAAAAAAAAGAAACATTTATTTTTTTCGCAGATCTAAAGATAACAACTAGTTGGCAGATTTTAGATATTTTATCTGAAATGCATTTACTAAAATTCATTTAGGCACAATTAGATATTTTAAAATTATAAATATTACTAAAAATTTTAGTAACAAAGAGTTTCAACATGGTTTTGTGAAATAAACTCAAACTTGACTTCAGTAACTTCAAAATATCTTTCTAAAATGACTTTACATTGATATAGTGGCATGTCAGACTTACACCGGTACCCTTAGATGCTTTGTCTGGTTAAGTATAAATAAAAAATTCATGCTTTTTGTTTTAGAAAATGTGTAGTTTATATTATTATGACATTATTTATCCATTATTATTTCAGATTATGGTTTCAAGGGAACGCGCGTTGTAAATTGGACATATCACTCTTTTTTAAATTGGAGTCATTTTTCATTAAAACAAAACAACAATAATCTTTTTTGTTTCTTTATTTTTTTGTGATTTCTAACAAAAATATTTTTTTAATTCTTATACCGATTTTGATGGTTATTATATCGTTAAAACTGACGAGGGTCAACCCAGACCGAAATATATTTTTAATAAATGTGGAACTATCATCTACTTTTTTACTCTACAGAGGTTTGGTCCATCACCATCACGAACGTTCGATAGTACATACTACATACATAGTACATACATAGTACATACATAGTACATGCATAGTACATACATACCAAGTCAGGAGGCAACAATTCTTAACTTTTCAACGTAAAAAACTCTAAATAACTTCTAGTCAGTGGAGCCTGTTGTAACTTGTAAACATGGTTTTATAATGAAATAATTTATGTTGCATGTTATAGTGTTAATCTAGAACCCTTTTCACCAGGTATTTACTGTGGGAGTATATTTATGCTAAGCTTGACCTATCCAAAAACATGAAAACTAGCATTAATAAGTAATTCAGGTATTTTTTACGATGGATGGGCTACAGACAGGGTTACACACAAAGGATGAGACTGTAAAGACAACTTAATAAGAAATTCCAATCCCATATACAAATTTAGTCTTCTGGTTTCAATATAGTCTTTAAATATCTTTTAAATGATTCAGCAAAGAAAGAAATCAGTTTTCAGTTGCAGAGAATCATAATAAATGTTTTACAGTCGTATTTGAAGTATCATCTTTTGTGGGTAACATTGTATTTGTTTTTCAATTAACATTGAAATTAACTCAATTAACATCCCCTGACTTTTAGTAAGTTTCCAGCGAATTTTGATTTTTTTCAATTAACGGTGGGACGGCTGAAGTAATTAACCCTGTACAGACTGGTGGGGGGGGGNCCAGTCTACGAATACTGTAAACAAATTGAATAGGATATGATTTATTATTATATCCCTGCCTATTATATCTATTCAGAGCTTGGAAGGCAAATTCAACTTCATTAATAAAAGGGACGGTAAGCATAATTTAAACTGATTTCATCTATGCAAAGATGGCAATACTAGATTTACATCGCGATATCCTTATTAGTTTTTTTTCTGATTGAGTATGACTGATATATTCATAGTTTTTTTTAAACTGTTGATTTTCATTTGTGGTTTCTCTGCAAAATTGACTTTTGGATTATAAGTAACAATGGAGAAAGGCACGGAAATAAACACTTTTTGAGTCAGATGAGAGTGCTAGGGTAAAAACCTAGAGGGTCTGTCTAGGGTTTATAAAATACCAGCTTAATTAAACAATTTCAATGTGGATATTATTAAACATGAGAGTGCTAGGGTAAAAACCTAGAGGGTCTGTCTAGGGTTTATAAAATACCAGCTTAATTATTGTTCGTCATTACAGTAGAAGCAAAATAAAAAAGTTTAAATATATTCTTATAGACTCCTTTTTGTGTAAACAGAACATACCTAATCCATATTGTTTACCCATTGCATGTGTCAAAGAGCATAAAATATCCTATTAACTATATCCCTGAGATTGATCCTATAGGAATAAAAAGAAGGGAGTAAACCTACAATGGAAGTATGTGTATTTAAAAATACTAAATTCTTCTAAAGAATCTGCCAAAGAAAGAATTAAATAAATCCTCGAAAAATTCGTTTTCTTTCACTCAGTTCCACAACTACAAAAACATTCATAAAATTCCCAGACTTCTTCTTTACAAATTTGTTTTTAGGAATCCGTTTAACTTTGCAGTCTAAACATCCATCCATCATAAAAGCCAAACCAGGAAAAAAATTATTTGATACACTAGGGTTTTAGGGCGCTTCACATTGCATGTCCCTGTAATAATTTTTGTTTTTTTCATTGGCATGTTTATTTGGAAATATATAGAAAATTTAGAATTTTTAGAGGCCAAATACGTTACTGTTAACCTACCAGAAACCTTCACTGAGGCCAAATACCTTACTTTTAACCTACCAGAAACCTTCCCTGAGACCAAATACCTTACTTTTAACCTACAAGAAACCTTCCCTGAGGTCAAATATCTTACTTTTAACCTACCAGAAACCTTCCCTGAGCCAAATACCTTACTTTTAACCTACCAGAAACCTTCCCTGAGCCAAATACCTTACTTTTAACCTACCAGAAACCTTCCCTGAGCCAAATACCTTACTTTTAACCTACCAGAAACCTTCCCTGAGACCAAATACCTTACTTTTAACCTACCAGAAACCTTCCCTGAGACCAAATACCTTACTTTTAACCTACCAGAAACCTTCCCTGAGACCAAATACCTTACCTACCAGAAAATTCTCTGAGGTTACGTGATTTGGGCGTTTTCAAATGTTTAGCCTTTGTTACCCCCAAGGTATCCATGGGTTTTCTCAGTCTATTTGGTCGAGCACCATATATAGCTTACATATATATATGATCGAAGATAGTATATTCAATACAAACGAATCAACGTCCAAAGAGAAAACGTAATTAAAACATATATTGAGCTAAACGTGAAGATAAAGATCCTTTTGAAAATGACGATGTTAATGTAAAATGTACATATTGTATGTGTATGTAGATATTTATGTATGCTTGTTTTAATCAATATAATTATATTGTAATTAGGATTTCGGTATTAATCAAATTAGTCCGGCACATTGTTTATTTACATTAGAGCCCAGAAACCAGTCTACGAATACTGTAAACAAATTGAATAGGATATGATTTATTATTATATCCCTGCCTATTATATCTATTCAGAGCTTGGAAGGCAAATTCAACTTCATTAATAAAAGGGACGGTAAGCATAATTTAAACTGATTTCATCTATGCAAAGATGGCAATACTAGATTTACATCGCGATATCCTTATTAGTTTTTTTTCTGATTGAGTATGACTGATATATTCATAGTTTTTTTTTAACTTTTTATTTTCATTTGTGGTTTCTCTGCAAAATTGACTTTTGGATTATAAGTAACAATGGAGAAAGGCACGGAAATAAACACTTTTTGAGTCAGATTCCACATTTTTGATCAGATCAAGCTTTTAAGTTTAAGTGCAAATCGGGCATTGGTATCTTTGTTTGTGAAATAAGTTTACAGTCCATTTAAACGAGACTTGGCAAAGAATAAAAGAAAGGAACTGAATAATATGTAAATCTGTGCAACCTGCGTGTGTAAAAATTTATTATTTCAAACTTTTGTAAAAGTATTTAGAAAAATATGATAATAGTTTGAAATACCTAAGGTCTAAGGTTTAAAAAAATGTGTGGATTAGAAAATTAAATTTTGATTGCTAGTGTTCAGTTCCTTTACAGTTTCAGTGCACCAAGAGATTTAGATTAAAAATAACTTAACAAGGTAATTTTAGATTCCTCTGTAGTGTCATGCTTTGTGGGTTAACCTCTTTATTATAATGTTTTTTTCTCCTCCCCGCAATTTTCACTAACTTTTTGTATTTTGCCCTGGTTTTTGTGCTTAAAGGAGGTTATTGTGCTTAACGGAGGTTATTGTGTTTAACGGAGGATGCTTAAAGGAGGTTATTGTGCTTAAAGGAGGTTATTGTGCTTAAAAAAGGTTATTGTGCTTAAAGGAGGTTATTGTGCTTAAAGAAGGTTATTGTGCTTAAAGAAGGTTATTGTGCTTAAAAGAGGTTATTGTGCTTAAAGAAGGTTATTGTGCTTAAAGAAGGTTTTAAAGGAGGTTATTGTGCTTAAAGAAGGTTTTAAAAGAGGTTATTGTGCTTAAAGAAGGTTTTAAAGGAGGTTATTGTCTAATAAATCATATAATGACAATAGTACTTTTCTTTATAATATATAGAAATGTAAAAAAAAGGACTATATAGCTATTCATTATGAGTTATGATACATCCAAATGTGTGCACCTTGTCCCTTTAAAACAAAAAAAGGTTTGGTTTCCATGAGGGTCCGGGCTTCAATCATAGAAATAAAACATAAAAAATAATCTGAAAGGACCATGCAAATTCCTGAATTATTTATGAATATTTAGTCAATATCTATTGAATAAATAATGCCTGATCACTTTTTATTAGATTTTCAGTCTTTTCAGAAGAGAAACCGCAGTTCTTTTTCATGATTTTGCAGATTTTTAGAAAAGAAACCACAGTTCTTTTTTCGTTGTTTTGTAGATTTTTAGAAGAGAAACCGCAGTTCTTTTTTCATGATTTTGCAGATTTTCAGAAACGAAACCTGAGATTTGTTTAATAATTTTTCAACTATCTACGGCTGGGAATAATGCTTTTAATGTTAAATTGGTTTGTTTATAATATAATATAAAAAGCAGTTTTTTTATTAGTTCTAGTATTCAAAAAGTTTAACTGTGTCAAAAAAATTTTTCTTTCAGATTATACGTTTCCCATTTTTAAAAGTTTTTATAACTTTGTAAAAACTAAGGATTTTAAAACTTTCAGAGTTAGCTGTCAAAATACTGTTAAAAAGAGACACTTTCCTATCGATCAAAAGTATTTTGCATATTTAATAAAAACATTTTTAGTCTTTTCTTTGAATAGCAAAATTTACTTAAACTATAACAATCCAATTC